TCTCCATTAATCAAATAAATGAGCGTTTTATAAAAGGGAAACTTAAACAAAGTGGATTAAAGAGACAGAGTACGAGAGACGAGCGAGATGGCGCTGTCGAGCAATTTCGAGAATTGGAATTAAAAGTTCTTTGGTATTATTTACTGAAATATGATGAATCTTTGGCGTTACATTTAATGATGTACCTTTCAGATGTTTATCATACATTTGTCAAAAGACTCTAGAAAGTTTATAATACCTTCGAAATTTATTTAATACTGAATGTTTGTAATAGCAGCCGTATTATACGGTGTGCCAAAATTTTGACTTTGTCTAAGAACAAAAATGTTTTTCTAGAGTATTTTTTGTGCTGAATTCAAATCCGTTAAGGCTCATCCTCGAAAATCCTAACGGTAAATTTCAGTTTGTTATCTCTATTTCAAAAATTTTCTTTCTTTACGAAAACAAAATCTGTTCATGAAGTAATATTCTAAACTTCGTTTAGATCTCTTTCAAGCCCAGGTCAAAAATGCGTTTACCTTTACTCGAGCCGATTATACACCGAGACAACCCCTGCAGTGACAGGTTTTGGCTTACAATAAAACCATAAATCTCGTTAGTGGTGTTTTGAGTAAATATAATAACATATCAAAGTAATATAATCTATTCATAAATTTACAATGTAATAAATGTACATACATAATTCATTTGGTATTTTTTTTACGGAAAAAATTGGCTGTCTGAATTTTAACGTATATTAAAGTTTACGGAAAATAAAAATTATAAAAAAAGATTATTATTATATATCATAAAAATTTGATTAGTATCACGATTATTAAAATTGATAAAATGAAACGATATAAATATAGAATTATGTCTAATGTTTTTTCAGAAGGTGTTTTTCAAATAAAAAATTATAATAAAAATCTTATCTAATTAGTATCACGATCATTAAAATTGATAAAATGAAACTATATAAATATAGAATTATGCCTAATGTTTTATTCAGAGGTGTTTCAAATAAAAATTATAATAAAAATCGTGAAATTTTTGTAGCATATTTTCCCACAGTTCAATCTGTTCGAATAAAAATATTTTTTGGGGTCCATACCGCAAACTAACAGTATTCTCTATTCGATATAAATAACAAAATAACTGTCCCTGCACTGGATAGTAATAGGAATCAGTTCTTTTTAAAATTTCTTGAAGGAAGGAATAATTTAGTCACGCTATCATTTCCAATTTTGATTTTTGATATTGAATTTGATAGGTTGTGGTTTATTACACCAAAATCTAATAAAATATAACATGACACAAGAAATAGTTTCAGAATAAGTTTGATGTGTTGTTTATTATCATTCAGTAACAGACTAATTTACTTCTTACAATGCTTATCTAACAGACAATTATTATTGTCAAATGAAAAAAATAAGATAATTTACTTGTGTGATTGTGGTTAGTAAACGTCGGCCCTATGCAACTAATTGTCAACAAAGAACGGAGTACAAAAGTTTAGATTTATGAGGAGCATTTATGAAACTTAGATGTATACTGAGTACTTATTTCAAAAATTTACAACTAAGCATTTAATTTGTTATATGTAAATATACTCCTAGATCTAGAGAAAATGGGAGTGCGACAATGTGACTCAGATATATGATAAAGTATGGCAAAGACGCCATAACTATAAACTAAGACTACATTTACCAAAACGATACTCTCAAATAATTGACTCCTACATCTTGGAAAGATATTTCAGAATTAAACAGGAAGAAACATACACGAAATTGATAGATATTACAGCAGGGCTGCCACAAAGAAGTGTCTTTACTTTTTGTATACGTGTTATATTATTGTCCTAGAAAATATACAATTACAACATTTACCGAAGATATTGCTATCATAGCAATATGCAAAACCAGCTAGGAAGCGACAAAGAAATTACACAGATGTTAATCAAATATATACTCCAGGGAAATAAGCAAAAAATAGACCCTGTTCGTGACACTCAATAATCCAGGTCGCTGATAACTTTTTTAGTTATTGTAGACCTCTATGAAGAAAACCTACTAGTTTCTTGCCTTGAATTTGGAGCTGTTTTTAATTATTGACAATATATTGCAAAAAACGCGACTGTTTCTATGATTATTGATACTAGTATTAAAAAGAAATAGATTTTTGGAAAAAAAATTGTTTTGCACGAATTGTTTAAACAAACTAGACTATTTATTAATTAATTAATATATAAACAAATTACTAATTCCTAATGAACGTAGAAATTACATACAAATTAAAAAAGAATGATCAAAATCATTGAGTAGATCCGGAGATATAGAAAATTTTATTAGTTTGAATTGCTTGTTCGGTATGGATTTGTAGGTTCTTCCTAGTCACCATTTGAACTACATTTTGAAAATTCGTAGAGGGTCTTCTAAAGGTACAATATTTTTGCAAATTTTTTAACAAAAAATAAAAATCCCATTTCTTAACATGGCAAAAAATGAGGTTCCTTAATTATTATAATCAAATTAGCTGTGAATTATCATCTTTTCTTTGACTTGATCTACTACTTGTTGTAATTGGTCGTAAAACACTTCCCTTGTTGTTTGAGGCTTATTATTTTCTGAGCCGTATACTCCGATAATGTTCAGGTTTTCCTTCCCCATTCTTATCTTTGATGTTACTATTCTTTCTGATATGTATTGACACTCTTTGATGTAATTTTGATACCTTTGGTGTATTAGTAAGGCTACACCTTCTTTGGCCCTGTTTTCTTTTGCTACTCCACTGTAGATAGTATGTATTCACCTAATTTTGATTGACCTTTTCCTTTATTTTTTGTTTGCTGTGGAGCACAAATGTCTATTTCTTTCTCTTTCAACACTTGGGTTATTTCTTGGTCCCTTGAGTTGAGTGATCTGATATTCCAAGTAATTCTCATCTGGGTTTTGGATGTTTTTCGCTTGCTCTTATTTCTTGCCGTAGTCGTCTTCATAGTATCAATCCAGTTCCGAGACTGTACATTGTTTCTTTGACCAGTATTTGATTTTACGATTGGTAGGTTGCTAACCAATAAATATAAATAATTAAATTTCATATTCAAATACTGCAAAATATTTGGTTATTACTCTGAGCTCATGTAAAGAAGAAAAGAAAATAATAACTCTGATTGAAATTAAAAAAAAATGTACTGGATGATTGACCAAAACTCTACGCTGTTTCTATATAATAAATTATTATTATATAAGCAAATACTGAAACAATAGTATTATTATAAAAACAGTATAAGTATTTAGAACGAAAATGTCACTAATCAACAGAAAATATTTCTATTCATATAAAAATTTAATAAAATTATAGGTACTTACTGCGTATTTATATAAAATTTCCTATTTTAAATACAATAAACATACTGGTTTGCCAAAAGTCGGAATAAGCCTAATAATGTTATTCAACTTTATTCATCCTCCTCCGAGGGTTTTACCTACCTGGCGAGAATTCAGAAGCTACCGATAAGGATAGCCTGTGCTGACGGAGAGAAAATTGCATTTAGCAGAAATTTGAAATTTTTTAAGAGTTTATATCAAATAGCTGCTTTGTGTTGCACTTTATGTTAAAAATAAAAACAGATTCGGAAAGTGGGTCAAATTCTGTAGTGCCCTATTTCAAACAAAAAAATTTTTACGTTTATTTTAACCAAAAATATTTGAAAAAAAAATATTGTTTAAACAATTTATTAATTTACAACCAATAGTGCACTAGAACTCTTTTAGACCTTCCATATAAAAAAGAATCATCTCAATATCTGCCATAGTTTTTGCGTTATTTGATATAAACTTTTACATTGGAATTTACCTATGCACAGAATCGCGAGGATCGGCCTTAAGATTTATCACGTACAGATTTTTTTTATACACAGATTGAATAAATAGGCATTAGATTTAGAAATGTGACCCAAGGTTTTATCATCTGGTGATATAAATATGTTGATAAAATAGTAAATAATTTTTAATCTCTTTACCGCTGTTGCTGATACGCCCATTGCCATATCCGCAAATAGGTATGCGGGAGGGCTCTCTCACCGTTTGCAAATTTGATTGGAACATACCGACTATCACGAAGTTCTCAAAGTACGAAGAGGTCGTACTCATCAAAAGAGGCTAAAGTAGAATATTTTAGATTAGAGCTTTGTTAAACTTTTTCGGTTCCAGGCGGGTCCTTTTTGATAACTTTGGTAACACAGTCGTATAAGCTCTTTACATCAACTTTCTGAAAAAACCTAACTCAAAAGGTTCTATCTTTTCTTACGGTTCCAACTACAAGAGTCTCGTTACTTACCTAGAATCTTTCTATGTTCTGGTATCTTCCTAGAAATGGAAACAGCCTGGCATTCTTTTAGGAAAGTTGTCATTTTTAAGTAGGAGCTATCCCATCTTTTTTAAGAAGCTTGTTAAATATTGAGAAGAAGAAAAGGACTCTGGGCAGGACAGTCTTTGAGTAAAGACGCTCGCTTATCTTACCGTTCTCTGTGAATTTTTTCTTTAAGTGTGTAAAAAAGTGTGTTTAAATTTTTGAAATATCTTAATCTGATTCCATATTAGATTAAATATTGTTATAAAGTACCTTCTTTTTGATTAACTTCACTGCTTGATACTAGTAAAGTATAGTAGAATCAGTGAAATAGTGCAGCAGTCATCGAGATTTATTGTAAGTTATCGTAATTATATTACTTAATCCTGGATGAATCTGCGTTAACCATTTCTTCAACTATAGTTAAGGTTAACTACCGATTTATCAACTCAATTAAACGAACATTTAATTCTTTCATACGAACTTTTAATCAGTTATTAAGAACTTCTCACAAATATTAATGAATAGTCAATATTCAGTAAGAACAGTTAATTAAACTAAAACAGTGTAAAAGTGTAAAGTCTAAAAAAAGTCTAAAAAAAAGTGTAAAAAGTAATAGAATTTGACAGAAAACGAACTAAATACGACATCGATTTGAAGGTTTATGTTTGCTATGTGTATGATATGTGTTGTTTTTCACTTGAAGACGTCTTAAGACAGTGTTTCCTAGCACCACGACACCGTTCAGTGGTATTCGACCATCTACAACAAAATCGATACGTACACGGTATGTGCATTTTCTGAAAAAAGTAATTGACACCCACCTTGATGATATCCGTAGCGGCGTAGTAGTTCTCCGATATGATGGCACCGTTCTGGGGCAGCGTGCCGTTCTGAACGTCGTAAGTGGGTGGCGGGCGAGAGGCGGGCGGCGGCGGCGGCGTCATGTTGTAGAATGCAGCTGCCGGAGGCGGTTGCGTCGAATATTTCATTTCCTCCGGAAAACTGTTGACACTCGTGAAATCTGAAAAAAGAAGAAGACATGAGGTTATGCTGGCCTTAAATTAAATGAGTTATAGGGCAACGGTTTTAGAATGTCATAGGACGTTATTCGTAGCTGGGAACGGAATTTATTATAAGGAAAATGGTCGATTTAACAGGTATTAGTCTTTTTCTTTCATGGAGATATCTATAAATTCTTGCATTGTAAGTTAACCCTTCATTTGTTGATGTCATTTTTGGATGTTAATAAACCAATATATAGTACATTCAACCAACTTACACATTTAAACGATTTAATGAAATTCGCAGAAAACCTTTTGTTATAATAAAAAAGTAAACTGCACTGGACTTCTCTATAATCTTTTTAATTACTTACTTTGTTTAGAATATTTTCCCCCTTATTATCAGTTAGAGTTAATTTGTATAAAATTGTCATCGAATGTCATAGTCTGAGAACTAGTACGCATACCGATGCGCATCGCCCCGTCTTGGATTTTCTTATTGGCTAGTTAACCTGAAAATATCATATATAAATAGTTAGACACTTATAAATATCGGTGATTTTCAGGCTAGCCAGGTCAGTCCTTCTCGGGCTCCCCTAGAGCATAGCACTCTAGGGGCTCTGATTACTGTTTTCCCAGATTCTGTGGCTGAATTTCGTTCTACCGTAACAGTTATTTTATTTAAACCCTAGAAGTGGTTAATTCTACCTTTGTCAAGGTTTTGTTATTCTATCTTTGTCAAGGCAAGGTAATATCAAGAGCGCGTACTTTGTGGGTTTTAAGAGTTGTACACCCCTTATTTTGTAACGAGTCCGTTACTTTAATAATCCTTAAATATTTTTAAATCAAATTTTTAAAATCAAATCCTCTTAATGATTATCTAAATTCTTAAAATTCAAGTTGGTATTAAACAGCGACACCAAGCGTTCAGGTTTGCAACCATAGTTTAGCTGGTTTAAAGCTAGCGACCACCGATGACTTCTGTTTCGACGTTCCTGAAAGGCACTTAAGTTTAAAGGTAGGAGAGAGAGGCGGCTTACAAAAGTTTTTTTTTGAAGTTTAAAGTTTTATTTATGGAGAAGAAGTAATAGAGAAGTTTTAGTTTGGGGTTTTTTTAGAAGTATCCGGTTTGTTTTAAAGCCACCTTGATCTGGTAAGTTTATAAAATTATCAATAAAACGGAAATAATAAAACCCATCAGCCATTTTGAGATCCTGTATTGTCACGTTTCAGTTGATTCGACATTTCATTATTTCATTAAGAAATATTCAACATCTAAATCGAAAGTGTTAATTGATATAAAATTATATTTATTTTAATTTTACGTCCCGGCCTTAAAAACATAGGTAATTATCTATCGTTAAAATTGCTATTAAGAATATCGTTAAAAATAATCTGTCTTATACTGTTCTTTATATTATAAAATATATTATTATCCATATCATGCTTTTCGTTAAAATTGTCGATATAATTAATCCATTTTACTTGAAATATTCTCAAACCATACGACGACGGTCACATTATCTACAAAACCAAGTTTTTTGCTCTCACACTTCATAAGTAACCTTTATAAAACCTTTCAATGTTCATAAACCTTGTGTTTTTCCCCACTCTGTCTCAATAATAAGAAAGAACTCTAAAACAAATGTTTTTTAGCCTACCTTTGGAAGTCAAACAGAAGTCCGGGGAAGAATTTTTTTGCTTTTGTTGTTTTTTGGAATAATTTTAAAGAAGAAGGATTAAGTTGAAACCCAGTCCGGTTACACCTGGTTCCAGGCCTGTTTTTTTTCTTGCCGTAGCTGCTCCCCAGAGGTCCAGATCTAACCTTCTGATTGCCGAACAATTTTTAAGAAGTCAGCGGTAATTATCTCCCTTTAAAATATAGTAAACCTGGATCGAGTTTGTTTATTAGCTTTAATTTTTTTATATATAATATTTTTTGTTTTGAACGTTTAATCATACTTTTTTTTGCTTAATAATATAAAGAAACCATCTTTTTTTTCCTGAAATAATACTTAATTATAGTTAGAGACTAAGTAGGTCAAGGTCTTAAATAATCCCTGTTAACTCATTTGTATGGTTTCATGTGTACACATTTAATCAGAGAGTTATTTTTTTTAAGATTTTATTATTATATATTTAAACGTTTGGACATTTATCTCGTCAAGATAGTGTCCTTATTACTTGTTACAATTACATTCAATTGAAAGCCAAAATACAGAGTTGCATCTCTGAGGCAAGCAAATTACCTTTTTAGGTCAATCATTACCATTTTTTCCCATATTTTATTATTTGTAAATTTAGATCATCAAGGATCGGTTGGGTATAACCAGGGCATTTATTTTTTGTATATAATTAAGCTGACTGTACATAATTGGTGGTGGGTATTTTAGGATAAATTTATATTGTATATATTTGGCTAGGGATTAAAGTTTTGGTGAAAATTAAATATTTCAATTTATACCTATATCCTTTTTTTTATTTCAGCACATAGCTTTACAAGATACCTTGGAAAGTTTATGTAAATACTTTCCTGGCGCCCACTCACATTTTGGAGCAACTTCTATAATCACTTTTATTTATCTTAGTTATATTCCTATAGTTTTTTTTCATAACCTTGTCATTCATTTTCTTATTCTACGGTCTCTGTAGGGCATGCAAATTGGCCGAATCCTCCTTTGAGTGTCAAGTAGTCACTCTTCGGCAACTTCTGCTAGCCAGCTTTATATTATATGTTATGTTTTACTTTACCCCCAACTACTTGTGTTTCATTGCATACACACTTTTGTTATATTCCTACACATTTTTGTTACAATTTTCCGCAAACAGACGACATGGCGCCCAACTAGCTTTCGAGCCCACGACCCACCTGCACGGAAGACACACAGATGAATCTACCCTGTGCTGGATTCAGAAACACAGCGCAAAGAAGCAACGGATGTTACCACACCAAGCTAATAGGCCGACATCGAGGCCTTCAGTGTGCTGACACCTTCGACGAGCCGGCCTTCTTCGAAGTTAGAAGTCCCAGTTGCCAACGGAAATCACGGAATTGGTCCAGTCATTGCCTCCCTACCGATCGCAACCATGCAGGCTTAAGCGAACTGGCCTATGAAACCTCGTTTGATATGACATGGGTTTCGGACGGTCTAGAAGAAGACGAACCCGCCGAAGGAGACTACATCGACTCAGGATGGACTTGCAGATGCTGTCATCAACACCGATCTCCCCTGTGTAGTGTTTTTTGTGCAGTGTTGCGACAACTAAGAACATTTTCTTATTTTTATATGTTTATATACGTAAGTACTTTTGTTTCACATATTTGATGGATTCGACCGTTACTCGATGGAAATTAATTTTCTTCTTCTTCTTCATGTGCCTTGTCCATTCCGAACATTGGTAATCAAATTAATTTTATGTAATAATAAAACAATGAAAACTTTGTTTTTAAACTTCAACAAAATTTATTTTAAACTATTATCACTACAGCTGTTTCGGCTGATTGCCTTTCTCAAGTGATCTGTTTTTGGCATGCGTTTACACTTTATAGTCTAATGAAACAGGTTGAGGAGGGGAGAACTGTTTGTTTTAAGTTGGTCATTCAGAATTATATCTGTGTTTTTTAATTTGTTGATTTCCATACATTCTACCAAAGATAGCCTAAGGCCTTTATTTTGAATTTGAAGAATTTTAAATTCGTCATTAAAAGAATCATTATAATCTAGAAGGTATAGTGCGTATGTAGAATCTATTTTTCTATTATTGAAAGCCCTTTTATGTTCTGCTATTCGTTTATTAAAGTTTCTACCGGTTTGACCGATGTAAGTTTTTGGGCAGTCGCCATATTTAAGTTTGTACACACCACTGTGTAAGTGTTTTTTATTTTGGCTCTTTATATAATATAATATATAATACTCCCGAAGTATTTTTTAACAAAAATTAAAAGTGATATTTTAATACTTTGTATATCTACTTTGAATATAAATTATCCTTAGCACGATAGTATTTATTTAAAAAAAAATTATTAAACACATAGGTGAAAGAAATTTGCATTAAATAACATTATGCAAGAATACTATTTATTAAAAAAAAAAAAATGTAACAAAATATACAAAACTATGAACAACGGGTTAATGACACATTTTTTTTATTTTATACCTAAAATTTAGCAAAATATTAAACATAATAGAGAACAAAGAAATATTTTCTGCGAATTCCGTTAATCTTTTAGAGTTGTAAGTTGGTTGTATGTACTGTACATTCAGACAAAGCATTAAAATTCACGAAAACTTAATTAGGATGTTGACGAAAAGAGTACATTATAATAATGTCCAATTGTGATGCCAAATTAGATACAAAATCCGAATAAAAACAAAAAATGTATAAACGAATTTGGATATGAAGTAAAAAATGTGACAAACAGTAAAAAAAACATTATAAACTGGTGAACTTCTACTTAATACATACAGATTATATAGTTTTTTGATATAGATACTTTCTAATTGTGCTAAAATAACCCTGTCAATGAGTATACATAATATTTCGCCACTTACTGGACAAATTAACTCTATTTTTGAAATTCCACGCAAAACACCACAAGTGCGACTTCGTAGCGTCTCTAGTGGTCTTATTAACTCACAGAAAAAAACACAGGAATATTCATAAGACATTTCTGAGAGTGTCGAGATGTTGGACGTGCTGTCGTTTACCTGGAGCTCTACAGGTCTCGACATTTACATTTGAAACGTCTGCTTTCTTCCTCTCTTCGCTTAATTAACAACTTCAGAAATCTCGTTTTGTAGAAATTTTCCTAGGTAGATAGGAAAGTGAGCAGATCCGGAACAAAAGAGTTGTACGAAGTCTCGAAAATAGAATAAGAAATAAAAATGTTAAAACAAAAACTACACAAGAAAGCCCTGAAATTAGTATTTCCACCACCAGAGAAAAAACCCAGTACCTTCTGCTCGATTACATATACAGGAAAAATAACAACAAAAATTGCCAAACACATAAAAAAGAA